GAAGGCGGGGTAAAACATGCTCTGGTGGTGCTCGAGCAGAATTGTATCCCTAGTTAGTCCTTTGGGGCAAGCACTCATTTGATCGGCAGTCCAAAGAATAATGCACAAAGTTGGTGGACTGTGACTATTGAACACTCTCTAATAAGGACGAGAACCCTAGAGAGCCTGAAAAATGGAAAGCACAAATGAAGATAATGATGCGGGGAGCCATAAGAAAGGACTAGGGGAGAAATGAGGAGCCATAGCAGCTGCCAGACTCTGGTACCTCATAGGCAAGTAGGTTGCCTGGGGGAAGAGGTGCCTTGGTGAGTATGGCAAGGAATCTGAAAGGCTATCCGCAATTAGGTGGTAGAAAGTGGGATAACCTAACCTAACCTCCTAATGACCGACAAAGAGGCACCGTGTGCAGGCTAAGGGGGTGAGGGAAAGAAACGGATAAAAAGAGCCAAGAGTTCCATCCAGTCCACGAACAGTCTACCTCCCTATCCTTTGAGCAGGGCGAGGTGGGTGGTAAGCGTTAGCCAGTATCCACTGTATGCTACGGTTACAATACCCCAGAGCTTGTCCAATAAAGACCAGCAGCTGTGTAGGTACTATAGGGGGCGGCGGTAGTGGCATCCGTTAGCAATTCGTAAACCCCGCGGTGGCTCCCTGCCGGAAGGCTAAACAAGGTCTGGATAGCGTTCGATGATAAGCCATGCCGTTTGTGGCAGGGAAAAATGTAAGAAGTGGGACAAGACTAGAGGGGAAGTGTAGCGGTCGGAGAGAGTTAGGTTGACTAACAACATACCCTGTTAGCTGGATAGGGTAAGGTATTACAGTACGTAGAACACCCCCCCAGACCTCCGCCAACATGGACCTAGGCCGGATGCATTTCTATTCGGCATGAGAGAACGCAATCAGGGGAACTCGACTATTATGTTAGCAGGTCCGGTATCGATGGCAAGTGGTGGGCGGCGGAATGGGATAGGAAGGGCCGTGACTAATTATGAATGATAGAGAGCAAAGTGCGGGAGTGGACAGTGGAGCCCGGATATGAAGGAAAGAGAAGGGGTCGAGCGCGATTTGGATGGCCTAATATGATAAGCGAGGTAGGGACAGGAAGTGGCATGAAACTCTGTGATACCAGAATCTAGGGGATCGTGTGTAGCGATAGCACGTCGATTGGGGTATCATAGTTGTTGTTATCCCGTTCTCCGCCGTTGTCTGTGAAGTCTGTCTTAGGGGGGGTGAAATTCTCACCGTTAGAGAACTGGCAATAGCTCCAAGAATTTTATTTTTGTCTTTGGGAAGATCTGGTGGCTGCGTGAACCCTCTCATAATGGAAAGTGGCTTTGTAAACTTATCCACGTGGCTCATAATACCGGGAAAGTAGATCAGAGCCACAAGTACTGTACAAGGGTCCGCGTTGCAACGTAGGCAACTCTGACTAACTGGAGTCGTAGTGTCCCCTTCACCATAACATCGACGGTCCGAGTAGAAAGTATTAGTATGCCAGAAAGGATAAAAGTGGTTATTGTGGTTGAGGGCCATTAGAGAAGTGTTGATTTAGCTTTGTTTTTTTCTTTTCTCCAACAATACCCTTCATTTGCATCGCTGATGTTGAAGCGAGGGTGGCATCACGATCTATCACACTTTAGTTGTGGCTGAGTTCGGTGCAACTATGGCCCGGGCACCCGTGCTTAACGTTATTTTTGAGCCCCTTGAATATCACAAGCCGTATTTAGGATACCGGTACTCCAGTGCTCATTACCGGGCACAAGTATGGCATATCCGGCTCCCACTTGGATAGCATTCCACTTCGCCAAAACATACCGAGGTTACCCATATTTCCCGTCCACCCACCATTGGTGGTCTCCACAAGCACCCGTACAGTTCCCGCCCAGCTAGCCCCGCCTATAACGCCAGGAAAAAGAAACCACTCTTCCAGCGCAGCCCGAGCTTTCCCCAAAATATGGTCTCCAGAAACCCGGCTGGAGCTTGGTGATCATGAGGGTTGGTAGATTGATAGCCGCTTTCCTACTGAAAGATCGGTTTTTCGCAAGGCGGAGGTGGGCACCGCAGTCGTTGGCGAGACTTTTGGCAAACGAACGTGCTGCGCCACACCTGTTTGTCCTTAGAAATAATCTCCGACGGGTTGATTTGGGTCCCGGGGGGAGTTGTACCGTGCTCATTTACAGTACTCTAAGAGCGCGTCGGAATTACTGTAATTGTTTTCCTAATCCGTACGAAGTATGCACACCACTCAGCATAATCCCCATCGCTTGCGCCAACACCCATGCAAGGCGAGGAGTTCCGATCGCTACGAAAAATGTTAGCATGAGGCTAATCTGTACGAGTAGTCGAATAATGGTTGGCCCCCAGTTTTGCCGACAGCAACGAGGCGTGCAGCTGACCTTCTTGTGTGCAAGCGCGCGAATTTGGGTGCCCCCGCTCGAGCTGAACCTAAATGTCGTTGCTCCCCCAGGAAGCCCTCTAAGAGTACGACCTATTGCTGTTTTCTACCTATCTTTGAATCTGCAGTCGAAAAGCATAACTCAAACGAATCTGAGGATTGACGGCCCGTCCACCTGAAAAGCGAACTCCAGCTTCTGATTTGCTTTCACTGCTAAAAAGCAGCAAGCTATCAAAGCCGCACTTCCCCGCTTCCGCACTTTAATCGCGGAACATCCAGGAGAAGAGAAATGGCGGACCCCTTCTCCGTGGCTGCCAGCGGCTTAGCTCTCATTCACCTCAGCGCGAAGGTTTGCCGACTTTGCTATGACTACTACGACGCAGTCAAGGGGAGCCAGGAGGATTTCAAGAAACTGGGGGACGAGATTAAAAGTATCAATCAACAACTCGAGGAAATCCAAAGCCTTGCCACCGGAGATGATAAGAACAACCCACGATACCCTAGCCTTCTGGGATGGACAGAAGACGATAGTTTGAGGGGTTACCGGACAGCCCTGCAGGAGCTGAGGAAAAGGTTAGATGTTCCGGGATGGAGGAAATACTCCCGAAAATATGTTTGGCCTTTTCAGAAACCAAAAATGGAGCGTTACCTGGGCTTGGTTGGAGAGCAGAGATTGAGACTTCAACTCTTGTTGGCTACAGCCACAACGTAGGTTATCCATTCTTCTACACCCCGGGAATCTAACATCTCTATTTTCTTTCTTTTCGGTGGCAAGGCTAACTAGTTGTTTAGGAAGACCGTGACAAAGATGTCGCGACAGCTGGATGGTACTTAGTCACATCATTCTTAACTGTGCTACTTATTTTCCTTACTAATATCAACTATTGCCGATATTTCAGAGAGAGAATTCCGGGAAGTATTGAAATGGCTTAATGTCGTTGATCCAGCCTCCAACTATTCATCTGCACTGGCTGTTCGTGAACCTGGTACGGGGAATTGGCTGCTCGAGGGAGATGAGTACAATGACTGGAAGGGTGACCAAGGTGGGGTTCTCTGGCTTTACGGAATACGTAAGTGTACCGACGGGTGAAATCTTTTGTCTGAAGGATGTCACTAAAATTTGCATCGCGTAGCCGGATGTGGCAAGAGTGTCCTCAGGTAAGAGCCCAAGTGGATATCTGGAGGAGCAATATGATTTCCAGATTGCTAACTCAGTCTTTAGTGCTACCGCCATTGAAGACGTCAAAAGGGTGTGCAACATGAACGATGATTACGGGTTAGCTTATTTCTACTTCACCTTCAGCGACTCCGAGAAGCAGAAATTGGACATTATGCTTCTATCCCTCATTGGCCAACTTCCAAAAAGGCCTTCGGATCGGGGTCTGCCAGCTGCGGTTGTAGATCTCTATAATAGTACCAAGGCAATTGGGAAGTCGGCGGATACTAGCACTCTGAAGGTTCTATTGTCACAGATTATAAAGGATTTCATGAAGACATTTATCATCCTCGATGCCTTGGATGAATTTCCCAAGGGCACACGGGAGAGTCTACTATCTTGGATCAAGGAGCTTACCGTTGATCATCAGGCTGGATCGCTTTCTATTCTCGTCACCAGCCGTCCCGAGGCCGATATAGTGGGATCCCTACAACCACTCACGGCTTTTTCAATTTCGCTACAATCCAAAACTATCGATCCAGACATCCGAACATATGTACAGAAATCTCTATCGGGCAAGGGTGGCTTCAAGAAATTCCCTGAAGAAATTAAGAATGAGATAGAGGACACACTAGTTGTCCGTTCGCAAGGAATGTATGTTATACTGGACTATTGAGATTTTAATTTATGCTGATACAAGGGTGGGAATGTTAAGGTTCCGATGGGTGGATTGTCTTTTGCGAATTCTTGAAGCATGTTTGGCGCCGGACGATGCAAGAGAAGCGTTGAGGAAGCTGCCTAAAGACTTGGATTCTGTCTACACGAGGATCCTGGAAAGCATCGATGAGGTGCAGAGGATATACATTCAGCGAGCGATGAATTGGCTTGCATTTTCGGCAGTACCTTTGACGTTAGGCCAGCTTGCGGAGGCCGCCGTGATCGAATACGATGTCGAAAAATATGGCGAGGATCCTAAGACTCGGGCTCTTTTTGATACTGGTTGCCTCATGAGCATTTGTCCTAGCCTTATTTCCTTCGAGGATGTCAGGGACGATGAATCATTCCCACAGGAAGACCGCCGATTACGACTGGCACATTTCTCGGTAAAGGAATATTTGATATCCGACCGGGTAGCTCAGGGCCCCAGTGCCTACTATCGTATTTCAGAGGATGAAGCCAATTTACGGATGGGGCATGCGTGCTTAAGTCGAATACTGAGACATAGTGCCCAAGGCACTTTTAACGGGGAGGAAGTTGAAGAAACGTCATTCCTCTATCACAGTGCTCGTTATTGGTTTGTCTATACCAAATGCATTGAGGATACGGCACCCACACCACTCTCCGACACAGCGGTGAAGGTTCTCGAGCTTGGAAAGGGCTGGTTAGATGTATATGACCCCGATGATCCTCACCCATTTAACCCCAGGGCCTCCGATGTTTACCCAGCAGCTATCTACTATTCCTCCTTGTTAAATTTAGTGATGGTCTGTAAACTACTAGTCAGTAGGGAGGAGGATACAGTGGATGTGAATGCTCAGGGTGGGAGTTATCGCAATGCACTACAAGCAGCTGCATACGGGGGAAACGAATCAGTTGTGCGGCTTCTCCTCGCACGCGGGGCGGAGGTGAATGCTCAGGGCGGCGAGTTTGGCAATGCACTACAAGCCGCTACGTATGAGGGAAACGAATCAGTTGTGCGGCTCCTCCTCGAGCGTGGGGCGGAGGTGAATGTTCAGGGCGGTGAGTTTGGCAATGCACTACAAGCCGCTACGTATAAGGGAAACGAATCGGTTGTGCGGCTCCTCCTCGAGCGTG